AACAGATCTGAAGCCTGCCTTGTCCTGTGCCATCCTCACAATTGCCGTCATGCTCAAAATAATTGTAACTGCTTAAAGAGTTAGACTATTTATGTAAAAAATATAGAATTACTGTAAAATAGAAATCACACTGTAGAAGGACAAATACTCACAGGTCAGTTTTAATTAATTAGGTATATTGACATATATTACCTTTCTAAACATTTTTTGGTTCACTTTATCTCATACCTCAAACAAATGCTCAGCTGAATGTACTCTCAAATTCAGCCATTAGTAAGTAAATAATAAGCACATATGCAGAAATAAAGCAGACAGAGTTAGTGTTTTGGATGAAATATTACTATTTTCAATGAGTTTTACTTTTTAAAATTTGCCAGGACCATGCTACTGCCCAAAAGTGAACAAGGGTTCTTAGGTGCTGTTGAGTCCACCACCACTCATATCCTCTGAACAGCAAATGGGAACTTTCCTCTGTTGTGTCATCCACACAATTACCACCACGTTCAAGCCCACTGTTGTTGTCACAGTGTTGAGGGTCTTTCTTGTATTGACTCTGTTTTTCCTACTATATCCTGTTGTAAGGATTGACACCTTCTGGCACCATGCCCGAATTTCATCATCCTTGCCTTTTAAGGAGCATAGAGGCTGCTCTTCGCCTAGAGAGAATTGCTTGTTCTTTTGGTTGTTATTGTTAGGTGATGTGGAGTCAGATATGACTCATAGTGACTCTGAACAAAAGATCTGAAACCTGTTCTATCCTGCACCATCCTCACCCTTCATGAAACACAAGAGGCCATTGCAGCAGTCACATTGTCAATCTACCTGGTTGAGGGTCTTCCTCTCTTTAGCTAACCTTCCACCCTTCCCATCATTATGTCTGTCTTCAAGAGTAGTCCCATCTAGCAACATGTCCAAAATATGTGAGGCAAAGCCTCATCATTCTTGCCTCTAAAGAGCTCTCTGGCTGTGCCGTCTCTAAGATCTGTTTGTTCTCTTGGCCGTCTGTAAGATGTTCAGTGCTCTTCTCCAGTTCCATAGCTAAAAGGCATCAATTCTTCTTCCGTCAGCCTTATTCATTGTCCAACTCTCAGATGCTTAGCAAGTAATTGGAAAGACCATGACCTGAATCAGATGCTGTTCTTTTTGATAGTCTGGAAAATATTGAGTATTGTTTCCTTATTCTTGTTAACAAGAGGAACAAGTTCTTGCAGTACGAGTGATATGCTTGGTAAAGCAGAGGGCCGAACTGAAAGTACTACATTTAATGAAAGGGATTGGTATAATGGCTGCAATAATAGATTCAAACTGCATTGATTGTGAGGATGGAACAGCAACAAACATTGTCTTGTTCTGTTGTGTATGGGGTTAAACACAATCAAGGACACCTAACAATAGCACATTGCCAGTGGATTCAAACTACACCATTCATTTACCAGTAAGATGCGTATTCACTGTGCCTCCAGAGGTCCTTTTCTCTCAAGAGATAAAAACATTGGCATTTTCACAAGCATACATTTTGTTCCTGTATAGTTAGTCCCAAATGATCTAAAAATGACTGGAATAGCACATCAGTAGAGAACAGCAGAAGTACAGGCTGGGTTTAGAAGGGACCATGGTACTAGGGATATTATAGCTAATGTTAGATGGATCCTGGTTGAAGACAAAGAGTACCAGAGGAATGTCTTATTTGTGTTTCATTGACTATGCAAAGGTATTTGTGTGTATCACAACAAACTGTGGCTAATTCTTAGAAGCATGGGAATCTTATGCAAAACCTATACTTGGACCAGGAGGCAGTCAAGTCAGAGCAGAGCAAGAAAACACTGCATGGTTCAAAATCTGGAAAGGTATTCACCAGATATGTGTCCTATCTCCATACCTTTTCAATCTGTATGCAGAACAGATCATCTGGGAGGCTGGGCTCTTAAGTAGAAATGTGGCAGCAGTATTGGAGATAGACTCATCAACAGTTTGCATAATGCAGCTGACACAAGCCTGCTTGCTGAAACTGAGAAGGACCTGAAGCACTTACTGCCAAAGGTCAAGGACCTATGGATTGAAGCTCTACATCAAGAAGACAAAGATTTTCACCACTAGGCCAATTGGCAGCATCATGCTAGATGATGAAGAGATTGAGATTGTTAACATCCTCAGTTTGTTTGACTCCATAATCAATACTCTTAGTACTAGCAGCCAGGAAATCAAAAGACTAAATTGCATTGGGCAAGTCTGCTGTCAGAGACCTCTCCAAAGTACCAGAGCAGTGGTGACAGTCTGGAGACTAAAGTGTGCCTGATTACAGGCCATGGTTTTTGCAGTCACTTGCTATGCATCATAGAGCTGAACAGTGACTAGGGATAATAGTAGGAGAATTGATGCCGTTGTGCTGGAGAAGAGTATTTAATGTATCATGGACTGCTACGAGTCCTGCAAAGGGTGAAACCAGGCTGCTCTTGGAGGCAAAGATTCTGAAGCTTCATGTGGCATACTGTGGGCATGTTACAAGGAGTGACCAGTCCTTGGAGAGGGACGTCATGCTTGGAAGGGTGGAGGGACAGTGCAAGAGAGGAAGAGCCTTGATGAGATGGAGTGCTTCAGTGACTGGGGTAATGGGTTAGTGTCAGAGACAATAAGATTGGGTCAGGATAGAGCAGGGTTCAGAGCCCTTGTACATTGTGTCGCTATGACTCTCAAGCGACTTAACTGCACATGACAATAAACAACACTGTCCTCAGTTTTAGAACACAGCACTTGTTAGAATTTGGCATTTTATCGTAATTTATATAGCTTCCTGCTCTACTCCTTCCAAAAAACATTTGGCTCCCTTACTCCTACACTACAGTTAAAGGCTGCCATCTTGTGGTTTTAAAAAAATACATTCAGGATTACTGTGACATGACTATTAAGATTTTATGTATATAGTTGTATCATAGTATGAAAATTAGTATTAAATTTTTACTTTTAGATACATTATTAGTTTATTAATTTCTTTATTATTCTAGTACTATAAAGTTATTTTTTAATCTCTGTTCATTAAAATATCCTTTTAGCCCATTCTCTAACATCAATAGTAAAAATACTATTCTACAATAGCAGTTTTATTAAAGAGCAGGTGTTGAGAATTTTAATATTAATTATATTGCTATGTGACTAATTAAAGCATGAGTTTTGAATCTACCAGCTGCTCCTCAAGCGACAAATGGACAATTTCCTTCCCTGATTTACTACCTCTGAAAACCCACTGGTCAGCTATGAGTTGTGATGATAAACAACAACATGTTATTTGATCAGCAAAAGCAGTATTTTTCATATGTAGTTAGTTGGGAGAAAATACATATCCACAGAAACCTCAGGTTTATAATGTAAATTTTTTTCTTTTAATAAAAATGACATTTAGAGTAAAAATCATCCTTACATAAACTGAAAGAAGATTTTTTTGCAAAATATGCTAAGGTGCCTGCCAGTCTGAGTTTTTCTATAATAACAAAATAATTTCAATGTTCTATATTAAGTTATATAGTTAATTTTGAAAATACCTTTTTATTCCCATTTATTTGTTCTCATTTTACATCTTGATTTACATCTCCTGTATATCTTGATTTGTAAGACGCATCAGAGACAACCAGGATTCTGCTACAAAGAGACAGTCATTGCTTTTGAGTCAGAAACTATTCATATCTAATTCTCCAGCAGGTTTTTGAAAGATGTAAATTGCATGGTCTTCACTACCAGGGTTTCTCTTAAAATAGTTATTTTGCAGTTGAGCCAGAACTGACCCATAGCTGACCCTCCCAAAGGCTTTTAGCAGCTGTGAATCACAGGAGAAGAGATTGCCCTTTTTTTTCTCCCAAAGAACAAGTAAGTGGTGGATTCGAACCGCATGTGTTTATGTTGGTAGCGTGATTTCTTAGCAAAAAGCCACCAGAGCTCTCTGTACATGAGTTCTGTAAATGTGTTGTTACTGCAGAATCTGACCACCTCCAGCTTTATGAAATTAAGGAGAAACTAAATCACCATCTTCAGTAACCCAAGGCTGATGCCTAAGGAACAAAGGTCAGACATACCTCCTTTTCTAGACTTTTTAACAAGTCTAACGCCAGTCATCCCTCCCCAGGCACTCTACTGCTCTGCTAGGTTTGATAATAGGTTTCATTGGCCACAACCGAACTCAAAATAGTGATGTGTATTTAGAGAAGGGGCAGGTTATACAGGATCAAGAACAACCCAGGATACAGTTCTATTGTCACAGCATCTTGGCTTTCTTTTCACCCAAACTGTACCCCACTCAGCTTATAAATACCCAGAATCACATCTATTTTGCCATTAAACCTCTGTCCAAAAGAATTTTATTCTGCCAGCCAGCCTGTTTGCTAAAGCACTGTGCTTTATTTGCTCTGTGAGCTGAGAAATCCACTGCCCTATCTTCTGGGCTCCTGATTTTGCTGCAACCATTTTTCTTTTGTTGGCTTCTCATCAAGGTTTTCAGTGGTTAAAAATCTTGGATCCAAAGTGTACACTCCGCTTTTAGCTCTTCAATTTTGGTCCTAGTAAGAACCTCCCGTTTGCCTTACGAATGTCTCATTTTAAGATGAAAAAAACTAACAAATCCTCTTATTAGGGTGCTATACCCCTTATTTGCATGGTTTTACCCCCACCAAAATACCATGCACCTTGTTTGCATTTAATACTAAGCTATCCAATCTGTTGGTTAGCCATAAACATCCATTTGCACAATCTTATCCAATCATTTGGCAGAAGCTATGAATTTTAATCCAGGAGACTATTATAAAGACAATCCAACACATCACAGATCTTTAGGGAGTTCTTTGTGACTCAACATGTTGTCCAGCCATGTGACATTGGAAGAGTTTATCAACTTAAAACTAGTTTTGTGGTGGTCTTTATTTGGTCTGATCCTTTTGTTTCTACCATAAAGTGGAGAGAAAGCTTCAAGTGCGAGTTAAGATTTTGATGTCTTGTGTTTTTCTAATGTCTTACAGTTATGCTAAGAAAGAATCTGATCTGAATGGAGCCCAGATCAAACTTCGAGAGTATGAAGCAGCACTGAATTCTAAAGATGCGGCTCTGGCTACTGCACTTGGTGACAAGAAGAGTTTAGAGGGAGATTTGGAAGACTTGAGGGATCAGATTGCTCAGGTAAAGTAAACTCTTGAGGTGATTTGGCAGATTGATTGCTTCATCTTGTCATAAGCTGTGGGGTGTTTTTTTGTTTGTAGTGTGCTTGCTGATTTTGGTAGCTTTAGGGAAAAAAAGTCATCTAAAGAAAAGTCTTGAAGTAGTTCATAGAGAAAATTTCCCAATTCTGTCTAGATTATATCTGTCAGTTCCCAATTCTGTCTAGGTTATGTAGGTCTGTTTTCCTTTTTTTTTTTTTTTTTTTTAGAGGACTTTTTTTCCCCCTTCTCTTTCTTACGCTTTTTGTCTCTTGCCCTGGGTACAGGAGACAATGAAAATGGTTAGCTAAATCTTTGGTTTGAGTTTTGATATATGAATCATAGTTCTCTTTCCATTCCCTGGTTCCCATTTCCAAATTTGAGAGTTGTTTAGATATGACAACCTGTAGATAGAACTAATAATTAAATGTACACCTGCTCTTTAATAAAGGCTAAAATGAGCTATTCAGATAGTACAAATGTGTATAAATTGTAATTACTTGATTTGATTTAATTTGTAAGTTCCTTAAATTTATTACTACATTATTTTAACTTTTTATCCATTTTATAGTTGGAAGCCTCCTTAGCTGCTGCCAAAAAACAGTTAGCTGATGAAACTTTACTTAAAGTGGATTTGGAGAATCGCTGTCAGAGCCTTACTGAGGACTTGGAATTTCGTAAAAACATGTATGAAGAGGTAACTACATGTGCTTTTAGTTTTTTAAGAGGTAAAGGAGAGTTAGAAAACATTATCACTCTATTTAAAATACATATTGAATGTTCATATTAAAAGATGGTGACATTTAAAAGATGTAGTTTGTGAGTACTGCTGCTAAAAGGCTATATTTAGGAAGTCTAGCTGTAGTGGTAAACATGTACATTTATCTCATGTAACATAAAACTTGGTCACAGCAGTGAACTACTGTAACATGTTTAGGCATTTACATTATTTATTTGTTGCGACTTAAAAATTAGGGAACTCTACTGGCATAGTGATAAGTTGTACTGCAATCCCAAAGGTACACAGCTTGAACCCACAGGGAAAGGATGGGCAGTCTCCTCCTGTGCTATTTACTGCCTTTGTAAACCCAGTCAGCTGTAAGTTGGTTTAACTTCTACAACACACAACAACAGCAACTTAAAACAGTAAACATTTTCTCCATTTCAAAAGTATAGGAACTTGAGAGCAGCATACCTGAGGGGTTCTGATCCAGAACTTCTCATGAGGTTTCAGCCAAATTATTACCCTTGGTTGAAAGAATTATTGCTATGCTCATTCACGTGGCTTTGCTAGGGAGTTCTCCTCCACAGAACTTCTCCTTGGACTATTTATTGTTTGACTTCCTCCAAGAGGGAGTGATGAGAGAGAGAGAAACACCCCAAGACTGAAGCTGCAATATCTCCTATAATCCAATAACAGAAGGTGTATAAACCATCACTTCTACAGATCAACCCCAATATTGTATGGAAGGAATCACATAAAGTGTGAATACCAAACCAAACTCAGTCCATTATTATTAAGTCACTTCTGGCTCACGCTAACCCACAGGACAGAGTAGAGCAGTCTCATAGGGTTTTCATGACTGAAATCTTTACAAAAGCAGACTATTTGATCTTTCTCCTGTAGGGTGACTTGTGGTAGGGAAACTAGGACCTTTTGGTTAACAACCAGGTGCTTCACCAGTGCGCAACCAGGGCTGCTAGTGTTTATGCTGGTGTAGAGCAATCCTTGGGGGCCACCCTAGCAACTACTCTACCTCCTCCCCCACTTTTGTAGTTACATAGGTATTTTATATAAATATTTCAGAATATCATGTACGAAGCCTTTGAAATAAGAGAGAGGTTAAAATAACTTTTGTAAAACGGAGAAAGTAATAAGATTTTGTAAAGAGTTGAACTCTTTCAAAATTGAAAAGGATTGGAATTAATACATAGGCTGGAGAACATGTAGTTAAATAATTGATGTTTTAGAAAGTAGTGCAATTTTTATGCCAGTGTAATGTTAAAATAAATATTTGTACAAAGTCTACTGGTTAAGTAGTTTCATCTTGGCCATTTCCTGAATTATTTTCTTTCTTTAAAAATGAAATACTAAGAAAATAAAAAAATGAAATACTGATGATTTACAGGGCTTTTTTTCTTCAATTGAGTGGTGAGTACCAAATTGAAATATAATGCATGAAAAGTTGCTTATAAGACTATAGTTAATGTTGCCATGATGCTATTATCAGAAATAATTTTGGTCTATAAAAATCAAGTATTTTTACATGACTTTAAATTTTTTCTTTTTTTTTTTTTAAAGAAATGTCCTAATCCATCATCACTTAGTTTTACTGTTTTGCAGTTCTTCATTTTTAAGTGAGGCATGTATGTTTCTTTTCTTTCTAAGATCACTGGCTGTATATAATATATTAAAAATGACATGTGGGAAATATTTTTAGAGTGTTTGGGTAACATCTTTAAAATTTAGATTTTTACCTTCTTAAGATTGTATTACAAAACATTTCTTTTATACTGAGGATATAATTCTAAGAAGCATATTTAAGTGTACTTTATTATGAACAATTAAGAATGAAGGAAAGAGGGATATGGGAGTAAGGAAGACAGGAAAGGGAGGAAAGTCATCAGTAACTGCTTGGTTTTTACTATATTAAATCTTTCATTTGCTTTAATAAATGCTATCTGAACTCAGGAGTGGCATCCACTTCCGAAATGGCTTGCCTCCAGAAACTCTTATGTACAAACAGTGCTCAGGCTGTTCATTCACAGGGTCTCTACGACTCGATGGCATCAAACAACAACAACATCTGAACTCAAGGAGGTTAATAGTGTAACTAGAATTTTTATTTTTGGCTTGTATTTCTGTCAAGCTTCTTTTCCTCTTTAGCAGTTAACAAGAGATAAGTGCATAGGGAAGAATGCTCAAATAAGATACATTAGTACATTAACAAAAACTTTATTGGGTTATCTCATCTGGCCTCTTTATTTGCCATTAAGGACAGATGTATTTTCCCAGCTGGAAGCTTAGGTGGACAATGTATTGATTTTTTTTGATTTATTTTTCACCGCAGATCAGATTTCCCCTTCCAGTTTTATGCAGTTCATTAAAACAGAGTAGAAGGATCATACCTGCTGTTTCTACTCTTTAACAGGTGAATTGCCATGTGTATTTGAGTTGAGTAGTAACTGTTCATGAAATCTCTTATCAGTTGTTAGTGATAATTTAGTACTAGTTATTAAAAGAAATTGTGTAAAGTAGCTTGCTATGCCTTGTCCCATCCTAGTATGTCTAAGAAACTTGTTTTCTTATTCATGAGCCTTCTGTTTGAAATTCTGGCTAATATATTTAACTCTTTATGCAATTTTTTTGTTTTAGAGATGCCCTTAGAATTTTCAGTAGTTTTGAAAAACAATTAATATTCCGTGAATGCCGTTTTCTGTAACTTTATAGTACTTCAAAATATCATCCAGGCCATTCATTGCTTTCAGAGAAATAAATAAACTGTGCTTTTTGTTACTTGACGTCAAATTGCCTGCAACTCATAGCGACCCTTTGTACAATAGCTCTGAAACCTGTCCTAGCCTGAGCCTGTCTCACTGACTTCAACACACCTAACCCCATTGTCTCAGTTACTGTATCTGTCCATCTCATCTGGGGTCTTCCTTGTTTGTGCTCTCTGTCCCTCCACACTGCCAAGCATTGATGTCCTTTTCCAAGGACTGGTCCCTCCTGGCCACACACCCGAAATATATGAGACAGAGCTTCAAAATCCTGACCTTCAAGGAGAAACTTGGTTTTCACCCTCTCTAAGACAGACCTATTTGTTTTCTTTTTGGTTCATGGTATATTTAATGCTCTTCTCCAGCACCACAACTCAAAGGCATCAAATCATCTTATCATCCTTTGTTATTGTCTAGCTCTCTGATGAATAGCAGTTGCGAAGGCCTGGCTTGGCTCAGGCATACCTTAGTCTCTAGACTGACATCATTGCTTCTTAGTGCTCTAGAGAGGTCCCTGAAAACAGATTTTTTTTTCTCTTTCTAGTGCAGTTTGTCACTAGTTAAATGAAACAAAGGATTTCAAGGGCTTAGAATGCCACATTAGTCCTATTTCAGCATCTCTCCTTAAACTAAGATTTTTCTCAAAGACTCAAATACATATTTAGATGCCTGCCCTAAGACAGATGCAAAGAACTGTCGATCTAAAACTTCAGGTTGTCATGCAGATGAGTGTAGACAAGGTGAGTAATTTGTTTTATGTCAAATCGTTTCCCTCCTCAGGAGATTAATGAGACCAGGAGGAAGCATGAAACTCGCTTGGTAGAGGTGGATTCTGGGCGTCAGATTGAGTATGAATATAAACTGGCTCAAGCCCTTCATGAGATGAGAGAGCAGCATGATGCCCAGGTGAAGCTGTACAAGGAAGAACTTGAGCAGACTTACCATGCCAAAGTGAGTATACTCTTCAGTTGTTTGAACACTTAAAACTTCAGAGAACATGAAAGAGTGCTTTGTATAATTGTTGACTAGGTGTTGTTTTGTTTTTAATTTCTTAAAAGAATTCCTGCGGTTTTCATGGGCTCAGAAATACAGTTCTTTATAAACTACTTGGTTTTGGAATTGTTAGATGAAAGTAGGGTTACTCTAATCAGTGATGATGATTTTATGATTTGTTCCGTTTATCATTGTGTTGTATGCTTTAGTAGATAAATTTAAGCCAGCTAATACTTTTTTCCATTAACAAGTGTTGATCATCTTTTCTTACATACTCATTATTTAAAAAAAAAATACCGTGTTTTTGGTGGAAGTTTACACAGCAAATTAGTTCTCATTTAACAACATCTGTACATAGTGTTCATTAATACCAATGACAGTTTTCAATATGAAGATTAATTTCTATTCTAGTTGTTTTGTTTCCCTGAATCTAATTTTTCTGTCCCTTTTCTTATCATCTTTGTTCTTAATTATTGTTTGAATTCATTAAGGTAATTCTTTGAAAGAGCATGGATGACAATATCATCTAATATGGCATGTGTCTCTAAGGTGACCTCTGGGAATGGTTTGATTTCCAAATGTAAAGCCTATCCAAAGGTGATCATTTTAAGGTTTTTTCCTAGTATTTCTCAGTCTAGAAAGTCTGGCCATTTTGTAGGAATTTATGTTTTGTTATTTTTTTTTTTTTTCCTGTTCTATCTGGTACTATCTTATTCAGGGATAGTATTACCTTGAGAACACACAAAATAGAATGTAGATATGTGGAAGAATATTGTTTATGCCTGAAGAGCTGTTTCTGCTTCTGAAAGGGATACCAGCAAACATTTCTAACTTGTAATAACAGACTTTATATTCTCTGTTAAATTTAGTACGCTAGGGATGTATGATGTCTGTGTTGTGACAATAATTACCATGGTCAGATTGCTACCGCTGTTATTATCATTATTATCTGAAACATTAGAAAATACAGTGAGTGAAATGTTGAAGTAATAGACTTTGTGTAAAGATCCATTTTATATATTTTATATATATCTATATTAGCATTTTAAAGATTATATGTGAGAAGTTCATGTAAAACTTGGGCTTTAGAGGTAACTTACACCATGTCAGCAAGCTTCATGATGTCTTTCCTATATTTCATCAGCTAGTTACCAGTAATTTTATGTGTTTCAAATGCTTTGAGGTGATTCATGCTTCCTCATTTGTTAGCTCTAATTTACTAGATAAGACAGATGTGGTTTGTTTTTTCTTTTAGCTTGAGAATGCCAGACTCTCTTCAGAAATGAACACTTCTTCTGTCAACAGTGCCAGGGAAGAATTGATGGAAAGTCGTATGAGAATTGAAAGCCTTTCATCTCAACTTTCTAATCTGCAGAAAGAGGTAAGCATCTTCCTCTAAGAGGAATTAAAGTTGAACTTGTAGGTCAGATCTGTCATAATAGTCTTTGTTCTGCCCAATTACACTTCTGCTGTTTACTAGGGATGATACTATTACTAGCCTGTGCTTTAACCAGATTTTGTCATTTTACATGGTGAAAGCATCCTTTGAACAGATGCTACTAATTGTTAAGTTAGACAGAGCTAAGGAACTTGCCCTCAGGAGCAACCTATTTATTTGCAGGTTGTTTTTTTTTTATCTTGGTTTACTCTCAGCACTATTTTATTGTCACATTTGGAAAATTATAGTGAAGAAATAAGTGTACAAATTCTTCTGAATGCCTTGTTTCTATAGATAGTGTTTTGAGTTTGTTTGTTGGGGTTTTTTTAGGTGGTTAAGATACTTAATTAGAATTTTGGGAGGTAGCATTAATTTGCATATGTGTTAAGAATGAGGAGACGAATCCATTCATTAATACAAAAAAGCTTGGTGCTGGTTGCATTCACGAGATACCTGTAAGTGCATAGTATACTCCAGTTACTCCTTGAATTAATTTTTGACTTAAGGGAGATGTCTATTTGGACAGAGAGTACACACAACACCTTGTGAGTATTCGGAATGCATTCGTAAATGAATGTTATCTTAACTCTTCGGGCAGTAACTTCAGTCGTTTTAAGGGAAGAAATATTGTTTTAAAACTTTGCATATAAGAATAAACTTTATTTGCCCTATGACCTATATTTTTTCTCCTTCCTTTTTACTATCTTATTTTTTGTGATGTGTTTTTCTGATTATAAAACTGATGACATTTATTGCAGAAATTTAGAATCCAAAGTAGAATATGAATTATATAAAATAAATTTAAAAAACCACAATAACCTAGTTAACTTAGAAGCCTTTCCCTTGCCTATCATTTGTCTTTATTACTTGTAACATTTTTAAGTTGTTTTAAACTATTTGATTCTGATAGTATTTTGACATTTTTATGTAACAGTGGAGCAGAAATCACTTTATTTGATTAACTGCCGCAGCACTAGATGAATTTAGTGACTTTCAGGCTAATAAATGGGGCTGTCAGGCTAATGAATGGGTTTCTTTCTTGGTTCCCAGTTCTTTTTTGTTTTGTTTTTTCATTGTTGTGTACCATCAAGTCAGAACCAACCCATAGCTGATCCTCTAGTGGGTTTTTCAGAGGCAGTTAATCACACTGGAGGAGATTGCCCATCCTTCTATGGAGCAGCTGGTGGATTCGAATTGCGTGTCTTTGGTTTGCGCCACAACTTCTTACTACTAGACCCTTTGTCTTCAAAGAGTATTTTTTTAAGACTTTATCAGATAACCTTTTTCCAGTATGCTAGCCTAATTGATACTATTTTTAAAATAGTTTTCTCTATTTTTAGAAGAGGCCTAGTGGTGTAGTGATTAAAAGCCTAACCTACTAACTGAAAGTGCAGTGGTTTGAACCCATCAGCTACACGGGGGAACACTGTGGCTGTCTGCCTCCAGAAAAGATTTTCAGCCTTGGAAAACCTTATGTAGGAGTAGTTTTGCTTTGCTTTTCATAGTCACTTTGAGTTGGAATCAACTTGATGGCCATGGGCTGGGTTGTTTTCCTTACTATGTGTTTGCATTTATTCTTTTTTCTAGTTATTAAATCTTGTCCTAGTTACTGCTTTCTGTTATACTTTTATCTGCACACCACCACCACCACCCCCGGTTTTTGTTTTAGTTGCAGCTTTAGCCACTTGATATACTTGTCGTGGATATTTTTCTCCTGTGGTTGATCTTTTTACAGACTGACTTTGTATTGGATTCTTTTGGCACCAGTTTTACGTGCTTATCCCAGTTTTCCTGTTTAAAATCTCATTGCCACCAAATCATAGCTACCCTTCCAGCAGGTTTTCTGAGGTGATAAATCCCATAGCAGGAAGTTATCCCTCTCTGGTCCTTTGGAGCAGGCAGGGAACTCAAGCTACCATCCATGCAAGTGTTTTTGTTAATACCAGTTAGATGTTTTTAATTCTGTTTAGTTTTTAACATCTTAGGAAGTGGAAGAGGAAGCACTCCTTCAGATGGGATAGTTTCTAGTTTCTCTGTATAGAGATTGTGAGAGAAATCCTTCCATCTCTTCATTGTTAATAGATTTCATCATAATGTATTTTGAGGAGTATTTATACTAGTTTGTAAATTTGTGCCTTGGAAATATCAAAAAAGAGAGACTACCTCTTGTAATATTTTTCCACTATCTGTCTTAATAGTAGTTTTAGTTTAGTCATGTCTCATTTCATCATATTGCTGTTAGGCAATAAGAATTTCCTCTCTGTTATGAGACTCATATTAGTGAAGTACCTCTTAAACTTATTTAAAATTATCATAGTGTTTAAATAGTGACTTAGTGTGTTTGAGTAATATATAGATGGTAGCAGTTTTATGTTCTGAAATTAAGAACTTCATATTACTTAAAATATTTCTAAATATTTTTTATTTAACACAGTAATTGGTTGGCTAGTCTTGTCTTTAAGAGTTTACATTGGTACTTCCCAAATATCTCTAATTTCACCTCCCTAATACTCAGATTCTGGAAACTCTTATAGTCTGAACACAACAAAAAAGTTAAGTTCTGTTTTCTGTTGTTAGTATGTGTTGTCAAGTTGACTGCCTCCTGTAACGACTTGATGAACAACGAAACTGAAGCCTGCTTTATGCTGAGCCATTTTCATCTGTAATGTACTTATACCCATTGTTAGTCACTGTGTCAGAACATCTTGTTTTCTAACATGAGGAGAAACCAAAAAATACCAAAATGATTAGAAGTCACTCAGATGTTTATGATAGACATAAAGATGATCTGATTAGAGCTCCTTTTTCAAAATAGAAAAAAAGATTCCCAAATCAGCTTAGATTTAGTTATAGGTTGCCAGGGGTCTAATAACTCGTTAATGGCAGAATCTTGTGTTCTTATATTTTGCTCTACAACCAGTAGCTTTGGACCAAATTTCTATTTAATATATAAAATATTCAAAGTAACTTTAAGACTTTAAAAAATTTTTTTTGAAAGGTGGAATTTAGTTCTTCTCTCTTAAAAAAGTATAGTAACCGAACTCTTCAGGTTTCAGCTTTTAAAAAAAAATATTCTCAGACCAGATGCTGGGAAGTATAAGTTCTCTGTGGCCAGGGACTAATTTTATTTTATTTTATTTTTTTTTAAGAGAAATAAAAATATTTATTTCTTTAAATACATTGGTAAATTGAGGAATTTACATTGTGTCACTAATGGAGACACAAATTGAGTATGTCACTAACCACTCATCACAAATCTGAACATGATGAGAAGTCATGATTCTAAAAAATAAAGGGGGAAACGCAGTCATTATGATGTATCTGTAAACTTTGGAATAAGGAAATCTATTTTGGTGCTTTTGTGTTGTCGCCTTGTATTGTGGGTATAAATGCGCTCGATAAACTGTTCTTGATTTTTTAGCTGCTGCTTCTTTTGGAGCACCAAGATATTTTTGGTGGTAACTTTGAAATGTCTAAAAGTAGATTTAATGGAATCTGAAAATTTTTTCAGATTTTCTTTCACTGCTTCTTTAGCCTGTCTAATTTTTTCTTTATGATGCCTCACAAATTCTTTGGTTAAATTTTTCATTGCACCAAATGTTTCTTTAACTGAACCCAAAAACGTTTCTTTTGACTTCTTTTGTGCCCTCTGGTTTCCCCTGCTCCCTTTCGTATTTCCATCCGTTTCTTGTTTTCCAATTTGATCTTTTGCCTCAACATACAGTCTTTCAAACAGATCTGAATGCAGCTGTTCGAAGATTAGCTTCCGCTCCAGCTCAGTGAGTCTTTCCCGTAAGGTTTCTATTTCCTTTTTTTCAGTCAGTACATTTTCTGTAGCAAGGGTCTTTTGCTGACTTTCAAAAGACATTTTCTCTTCTTCGGTAAGGGTCCAACACCTAGCAAGGTTTTCCTTCAACGACATAGATATACCCAAATTGCTGGAGGATGGCAATCACCAAAGCAATTATGACATAGTTATTACGACCATTACTGAAGAGCTTATCTAAGTTCTCCTTGCAAGGTTCGGGCTCCTGTTCAGCAGGCGGTTCCTCTTCAGCAGGACTGGGCTGATGACCAATTTCATCACTACGTGATTCATCATCATTATGTTGAGATGAAAATGCAATTTCTTCTGTGGCCAGGGACTAATTTTAATATCACTCTTAAAATATTTGTGATACTGACTATCAAACACTACTTGGATTTTCAACAGATAAATTTTTTACAAAATAATTTTGAGTTTACAGGAAGACAGCACAGTTTCTGTGTAATTTCCACACCCAGCCCCCATTGCTGACATCTAGTGTTACACTGGTGCATTTGCCAAGCTAAGAGACAGATACTGATGCATTACATTATTATTAAGTAGAGGCCACACTATTTGGCCTTCACAAGTTTTTCTTTTAAATACGCCCTTTCTCTTCAGAGAATTATGTCTGTGGTCTTCTGTGTGTCTATCCTTGTTTTGCTTTTTAAATGGCTTTGGTACTCTTGAGGAGGACTAGCCTAATAACCTGAGCTGTCTATCAAATAGTTTGTCTGATAGTTTCCTCATAATTAGACCCTCTGACTGCTGTCAAGTCAGAATCAACTCATAGCTGACCCTCCAGCATGTTTTCAGAGACTGTAAATTTCGTGAGAGATTTTATTGTTGTTAGGTGCTGTCAAGTTTAGGAAGACTCCTAGTGAACCCTAAGTCTGAACCTTGCCCTAAACTGTGCCATATTCATCATCTCTGATATACACAAGCCAGTTGTTCCCATTACTTATCAGTCCATCTTGTTGAGAGTCTTCCTCTCTTTCTCTGACACTCTCCCTTTTCCAGCATGATGTCTTTTCACCAAGACTGCATGATAGCTACCTTCAAATTATGTGAGATGAAATTTCACCATTATTGCCTCTAAGGAACATCCTGGTTGCACATGTCCCGAGACAGACTTATTTGTTCTTTTGGGTATTCAGTAGTCTTCTCTAACTTCACAATTCAAGGGCATTGATTGTTCTGTCACGCTTGATTGATTGTCCAAATTTCAGATACATAAGAAATAATTGTGGTTTGGATCTGGTGCACCATAGTCTTTAAACTGAAATCATTGCTCTTTATCACTTTGGAGCAGATTTTTTCACAATGGAACACATCTTTTGATTTATCAACTGCTGTTACCATGAATGTTGATTTGGATTCTTTTTTATCAGAGAGTGGTATTTAGATATTTTAAGATTAGGGCATTGAGTACATTCATTACCACTGGCATATAATTGCTTCTAGACCTTCTCAAGCTAGGTAATGGATGCAGTTTTACTAGCACATTTTTTTATACATACCTATGTTTGTGATCAGTCGTATATATGTTTATTTAAACAAGTTCATAGAGACTTCTCAGATTCTCATGCTGTACTTTATTCTTCATTCTTTACTTCCTTTTTCCTTCTCTATAACACGATTCCTCAGGATGTTTACAACATCTATTATTTGCTCAAACTCCTATCAGTTGTTTAACCTATAAATTTACCAACAGTTGCACAATACTTATTAAAACGTAATTCCTTTTTTACTCTGTACCCTTTTAAGATTTACTTTACTTTCTATCCTTTTCTAAGTGTCTAGCCCCTGCCAGTGCTCTCAGCCCCTGGGTAATGCAATGGAGCTGGGCAGACTTAGCGGCTGCTGTTAACTCTGGCATGGGTACACTACAAAAGATCCACAAAAAAAGAGAGTGCCGTAAATCCATTACCAGCTCTAAGATTTCCTTTTTGTTTAGCAAGTACCCTTTCACTCCTTGTTGATGCAGGTGTTTGAGATTCCAAGGGCCTAAGCTGTCCTTCAGTCTTTTTGAGTTAGTTATACTTGCCATTTTTTGAGGCATCTGATAATGCTGTCCTGGGAAATTCAGAAGACTAAATTACTCAGTGAACTAAGATTAATTTTCTGAAGTAAGATACATATTTTCTCATTTCTTTTACTGTTGCTGTGTACCATCGAGTTGGAACCAACCCATAGCTCACCCTCCAGTGGGTTTTCAGAGGCTGTTTATTGTGTGAGAGGAGATTGTCCATTGTTCCCCACAGAGCAACTGGTAGGAGTTGAACCGTGTGCTTTTGGGATTTATAGTGTAGCTTCTTGCCAGTAGGCCACCAGAGCTCCCTCATTTCTTTTATACTGTGTATAAAATTTCTGTATTTAAAAGTAATAGTTTATAAATTATATATTGTATACTCATATTTCTGTGTTCAATCAGTGGGCTTGGGCATTGAAATAATAGAGCTACCACATACTGTTAGTGCCTTCCACTTAGTAACCCAAGTTCTATTTTTTCAGTCTGAATATTCCCCAACAATTTTCAGAATAGATTTCTCTATTCAATTTCTCTATCAATGAGTATCTGTCTGTTGTGTTGTTTTGTGTTTGGTTTTTGGTTGGGTTTTTTTCCCCCCTTCATTTCTTCACTTTTTAAATTTGTACTTAGTGCCAGACCTGATTTTTTTTTCTCAAATGACAGCTTACTAACCAATTTTATTTGACCAGCTACAGAAACCATTTGGAGCATGTTTTCTTCTTAAATTTTTATAAATAAAAACTTTTCTTGTGAACAATGTGAACTTAAGGGATTTTGGTTTTGTTTCCTTAAAATTGAAATTACTTACATTCTAATGAATTAGAGATGTCATAGACTTCTTTTAATTTTCCCATCTAGCCAATGCTTTAAAATAGCTGCTGTGTACTAATGTTGCTATGATTCTACAAAATGCTAATGTATTTGCTTGACTCTGAAGTCTAGAGCCTGTTTGGAAAGAATTCAGGAATTGGAAGACTTGCTTGCTAAAGAAAGAGACAACTCTCGTCGAATGCTGTCGGACAAAGAGAGAGAGATGGCAGAAATAAGGGATCAGATGCAGCAACAGTTGAATGATTATGAACAACTTCTTGATGTAAAGTTAGCTCTGGACATGGAAATCAGTGCTTACAGGAAGCTCTTAGAAGGCGAAGAAGAACGGTAAGTAATTTCTTGTAAGCCTACCTTCTCATCTGCTGTTCACCCTACCTTTTTATTTAAAAGATACTTTTTTAGAAAATAACACTTGGGCAGTTTTTAGTATTTCTCTTTCATTTCTCTTAAAACTAGGAGTAAAGGTTGTAATTAACTATATTTCCGTCCTAGCAACAGAAAATATTGCTCAAACAATGTTACTTTATTCCTGTTATTTAAATTTTATCATGAACTCATCATCTTTTAAGATTTTAGATGTCTTTGTGGAATACTAAATTTGATTAAATGAAACTTTGTACTTTTTAAGACTTCTTTATTGTATATAACTCTTTAATCATATTTTCAGGAAATGGTCTAAAGGGAATAAAAAATCAATAAATCCCAATATTACATACTAAATTACAACTTTGTCTTAAAAAGCATGTAACAGTGGATGATAGTTGGGATGGTATTATTACCATTTGTTTTTCAGACTTACTGTGTCAGCTGTATTATGATTACTTTATTCTTAGAGAAAAATATTAGAGAATAAATATTATAACATTATTACTTTCTTAACAAAAATTATTGATGGGCCTCTTAGCATAAATAAGTTTATCTTAGTCATGAGATTGTTTTTATGTACTGTCTAGTCAGAACAGACCTCATAGCTTTTCAAAGGCAATAAATTGCGTGGGAGGAGATTGCCCATCTTTTCCCATGGAGCTGTTGGTGGATTTAAATTTCGTGCTTTTGAGTAAGCAGCCCAGTTCTTTACCACTGTGATGAAAAAACATCTCAATAACAGATTTGATGCACTGAATACCAGTGAGACCACAGGATCTGTGGGATGACATCAAGGATATTATCCATTGAAAATAGAAGATCATTACAAAGACAGAGGAGAAAGAAAAAACCAAAATGGATGTGAGAAGAGACTGATAATTGCATTGAAGCCTCAAGAAGCCAAAACAAAGGGAAGAGATGCCAAAGTAAAAGACCCAAACAGAAGACTTCAAAGTTCAGCTCAAGAACACAAAGCAAAATATTTAATGAAATGTGCAGAGAATTGGAGTCAGAGACTAAAAATGGAAGAACTCACTGGGCATTTCTAAAGCTGAAAGAAGTGAAAAAGTTAAACTCTGAGGTAGAATATTGAGAGATGGAATGGGCAAAATCTTATGTGATCCAAGATGCATCAAAAGAAGAGGGCACTTTCTACGAATATGGTGCCGAAAGTGAAGATTGAAGGCCAAGAAGGCAGTCCTGAAGGGCATCCACAGCTACACATACACAAAAAAGATCCACATGTCACCCACCTTCTGGCGGCCTAAGACGCTGAGACTCCGAAGGCAGTCCAATTACCCCCAGAAGAACGCCCCCAGGAGAAACAAGCTTGACCACTATGCCATCATCAGATTTCCCCCGACCACTGAGTCAGCCATGAAGATAGACGATAACAACACACCGGTGTTCATTGTGGATGTCAAGGCCAACAAGCACCAAATTAAACAAGCTGTAAAGAAGCTCTGTGACATTGACGTGGCTAAGGTCAACACTTTGATTGGGCCTGATGGAGAGAAGAAGGTCTATGTTCGACCTCCTCCTGACTATAATGCTTTGGATGTTGCCAACAAAATTGGGATCATCTAAACTGAGTCCAGTTGGCTAATTCTAAATACAAGTTTTGCTCACCAAAAAAAAAAAAAAAAAGAGAGAGAGACAGAGAGCAGGAATATACAGAATCACTGTACCAAAAAACTGGTCAACACAAAAAAATATGACACAGAAGACACAGAATTATGGGAAGTACCACACAAGACAGTATAACATTGTAACAGTGGTAACAAAGGAAGAGGTTCAAGCTGCATAGAAGCCATTGGCCAAAAAAAATGAGGTCCCAAGAATTGATGGGATACTAATTGACATGTTTCAACTAACAAGACAGATACAGTTCTGGACATACTCATCAGTCTGTGCCAGGAAATTTGGACAGTTGCCTGGCCGACTGACTGGAAACGGTCCATATTTGTTCCCATCTCCAAGAAAGGCGATCCAACAAAAGGTGGAAAATACAAACAATATCATTAATATCACATGTAAGCAAAATAGTGTTGAAGAACATTTAAAAAATGGCTAGAACAGTACATGGACTGAGAACTATCAGAAGTTCAAACTGGATTTCAAAGAGGCTGTGGTGCCAGGAATACCACTGCTGATATCAGATAGATCCTAACTGAAAGCAGAGAATACCAAAAGAATAGGTTTCGGTGCTTTTTGACTATGCAAAGGCAGTTGTCTGTGTGAATGATAATAGACTATGGCTAACATTGAGAAGAATGGGAATTCCAGAATACTTAATTGTGCTGTGTAAACCTATATGTAGACCAAGAAGCTGTTGTCTGAACAGAGTAAGGGAACAGAAAGCCAGACTCTGTATGTGGCATCAGGATTAGAGGAAGACTCGTCAGCAGCCAGTGTTAAGGAGATGACACACCTTACTTGTTGAAAGTGAGGAGAACTTGAAAACACTTTCTTTAAAAAGTTTAAGAACTTCAGCCTTTAATATGGATTATATCTCACCATCAAGAAAACAAAGGACGCCACCATTGGGTCAGTCAGCAACATCATGATAGATGGAGAAAGGATTGAAGTTCTCAGTGATTTCGTCTTGCTAGAATCCACAATCCACACTCTTGGTACCAGCAGTTAGGAGATTAGAAGACATATTGCTTTGGACAAGACCGCTGCTGTCAGTTATCTCTCCACAATACTGAAGAGAAGTGATGTCAGCCTGAAGACTCAATTGCTCCTTATTCAAGCCATGGTCTATTTAGTCACTTGCTGTGCATCTGAGGACTGCACATTCAATAAGGTTGATAGATGATGAATTGATGCATTTGAGTTGTGGTGTGGAGGTAGAAAAGTGCTAAATATCCCATAGACTGACAAAAGAACAAACAAATATGTCTTGAACAAAGTTAATCCAAAGTGCTTCTTAAATGCAAAGATGGTGAAGCTTTGTCTCTCATAGATTGGACATACTGCTAGGAGAGGCTATTCTTAACAGGAAAGAGAGATAATGCTTGGAAAGGTGGAGGGACAGTGAAAGAGAGGAAGACCCTTGATGGGATATATTTGCACAGTGACTGCGACAGTGGGCTCCAGTGTGTTAGAGATGATGAGGATAGCACAGGATACAGCAAGGATCAAATCTGTTTTCATAGGGTTAACATGGGTTATACTCTGTGGCACCTAACAACAACAAAGGCACCAGAGCTCCCTATTTATGATGAGAATTGACTATTACTTGCCTTTGTCTAGCAGACTGAATGTGTTACAGTAAGAAATTAATATATAATTTGTTAATATCTTTCGCTTTAAAAGAAGAAGGGCATATGTGCATAAACGGTTTCATTTTTCTTCTAAAGGTTGAAGCTGTCTCCAAGCCCGTCTTCTCGTGTGACCGTATCACGAGCCTCTTCAAGTCGCAGTGTCCGTACAACTAGAGGAAAGCGGAAGAGAGTCGATGTAGAAGAATCTGAGGCAAGCAGTAGCGTCAGTATCTCTCATTCCGCCTCAGCCACTGGGAATGTTTGCATTGAAGAGATTGATGTTGATGGGAAATTCATCCGCTTGAAGAACACTTCTGAACAGGTAAAAAAAATACATACTCCTTTTTCCTCCACAAGTTTTCTAGTTTATCTTACGGTTTTAATAACTATACCTTTATTTGAATTCAGCAGTCTTCATAAAATAAGAATTTCTTTCTTCCTTTTTACTTAAATTCATGAAGCCATCTATAAAATATAGTAGAAGATTGAAGAGGTTCTGCCTTTATGACTTAGAGGTTTTATTTATTAGCCCTTCTTTATAAGCTAATCTTTTGCCCCCCATGCTTGGTCCCTTTTTTTTTTTTTTTTTTGCCACAAGGATGAGTTATTAACTCTCTGTAAGGACTTCTATTTGTTCAGAGTTGAGAAGTAAAATGGTATATGTCTTTTCACAGCCATTATCATAATATGCTTTCTAAGAACTGAGGAAAATATGACCCAAATCTAGCTAGATGCAGGGAGTAGTTTTGTCCATAAATAGAGAAATGACTGACTGACTGAGTGAGTGCTAATGATTTCATTTATCTACAGAATATGGTTCCCTATCTTGAAATAACTTGCCTCAGATTTAAAATAACGTAGTTGCTTCAAGCCATTGCTTTCAGCAAATATAAACATAAAGCGATCTCTGTTTAACTATATAGATTGATTTGTTTGTTTTATAATCTGTATATTTCAAATGACATTGTTTTATTTTCTTCTAAACAGGATCAACCAATGGGAGGCTGGGAGATGATCAGAAAAATAGGAGACACATCAGTGATTTATAAATATACCTCAAGATATGTGCTGAAGGCAGGCCAGACTGTTACAGTAAGTAGATTTAGTTACTATTTAATTTTCTAAAATAACAGATATAAAAGTCATTCAGAAAATTCTTTGGCTTTAAATAGAAGCATTTTAGAAATAGGTACTAGAATGTCTTTTTGACATTCATAGGACATCACAAGCAATATTAAAAATTCTGTTTTCTTGAGAGTGGTAATTGACTTTTAAAAACCTCTGACTTCTTTTTGTTGCTTCAAGTAGATATAAATCACTATCTGCTGATTGATACTTGTAGCCCATTGTAGTTTAGGAGATACTCCTTGGCACAAAGATTAGAATGTAATTTGTTAATCCTAGAGCATGTTTAAAACAACAACTTTGAACTTTGAAGGTTTCCATTAGAATCATCTGGGAGGTGTTTTGGTGACCAAGTCCAGCCTGAACTGTCTGAATGGAATGCATGATTAGACATTATATGGCTAACAGCAATCTGGAATAAGAGGTGCATTGCAAAGTGGACTCAGGGAGAGAGGAAAATTTGCAACAAGGAGTGAATAAAATCCCAACCTCTATATACTTTCATTAAAAATCACACCCCCCCCAAAAAAAATTTTTTTTTTAATATTCTAATCTGATGTTGGCAAGCATATTTTATTCTTAGAGTTCATCTAGATTCACACTTGGCTACATTTCAAGTTGCTTAAAATCTACATGAGATTCAGCTGCCATCCTTGAACAACCAAGGTTTAGAACACATTTTTAAAATTTTAGATTAATTAAACAGTAAAGTTACTGACATTATATATGAGTATTGTTAACCACTAGTAATTTCATCTAGACTGGTAAAAAGTTCAATATTCTGGATAGGCTATTTGCTGAAGAAAGTTTGAAAGACATTAGCACATCAGTTCTTGCTGTGGGCACTTTTTTGAGAGGCACTTTTGGAAGATGAGGCAGTACAGGAAACAGTATAGCTCAGAAATGATGCCCATGATCATGGAATGCAAAATTCAATATCGTGGCGTTGGAACTGATGCATAGTTGGCCCTACAGCAAGTTTTTGCTAGCTATAAACCACAATTGGAAGAGATTGCCCATTTTTCTCTCTTGGAACTGCTGGTGGATTCAAACCACTAGATGTGCACCGCCTTTGAGTTAGCAGTGCAATTCCCTACAAACCATACCATGATGCTGTGGAATAATGAAGCTTTAGTCCACTGCAGTGCCAAAGGCAAGCGGTTTGAGTCCATCAGCTGCTTCGAGGGAGAGGTATCGACAGTGTCCTCCCACATAATTTATTGCCTCTAAAAACCTGCTTTGAAAGCAGGAGTGACATCCACTTCTTAAACCACATGCCTCTGGAAACTCTTTGAGCTATAGAAAGGCTTTAGGCCTTTTGTTCATAGTGTGTGGCTATGAGTGGTGCTCAACTTGACTGTAGTCAGCAACAACAAAAACTTGCTGGAGGGTCAGCTGTGAGTCACTTCCCACTTGAGAGCATACAGTTGGATTTTTGAGTTTTAAAGAATAATGGATATTAATAATAATGAGAGTTATTATTCATTGAGTGAGCCAATAGTTACTATATTGTGTAGCCATTTACTCTTCAGGACAGTTCCGCACATCATCCATACCATTACTGTCCCATTTTTATGGATGAGACAAGCGAAATAATTTGCTTGGGATCAACTGATACAGATGACCTAGGTTGTGTATGTAGGCAGCTTCATACCAGAGCCCTGTATCAGCATCTTCATTTATCAAATGAAAAGCTGAGACCTTGAGAATTCTGGAGTTCTAGACATACAGTTAGTTAAAACAGCAAGTCTGAAGCTAGGAAATGATCTGTAGACCTCTAGAACCATCCTAAAAGTTTTACAGGATGTTCAAGTCTCATTGTGCTGATACTATTGATATGTGGAAAAATTGGATAGAAGTATACTGGTATCTTTTCATTTTTTTTAGATCTGGGCTGCAAATGCTGGGGTCACAGCCAGTCCTCCTACTGACCTCATCTGGAAGAACCAGAATTCTTGGGGCACTGGAGAAGATGTGAAGGTTATATTGAAAAATTCTCAGGGAGAGGTATGGTGGTTTTATTAATACCACTGTCAAGTAAACTTCACCTTAAAGTTCATTATACGTGTGTGTTTCTGTGCAAAAATAAAATGGAGATGTTAATTAATATTTTGCTTAATCAGACCATAGCTACTCAAATTTTCAGAATAAAATGTTAGTATATCCATTGGGCACTAATTATTAGAATAGACTCCAAAGTAAGATTGTTTGCATTCATTTCTGCCACCCCTGCATTATTAGTACTGTGACCTTGGGCAAATTCCTTTACCTTTCTCAGTTATCTCAAAAATGGAGATACTAATACAAGTGGATTAAATGAGATAATCCTTGGGACATGCTTGGAATGCTGCCTGATCTCTGAGATTCATGCTTACATTATTATCCTTGTTACTAGCTTTCCGAGCATTTCTTAAACTCATGAGTTGAAAGATTGTAAGGTGTACATCTCTTTGATGTGTATTATAGGTCTTCAGCATGTCAGTCCTAGAATTCTTTTGAAAGAACTTTACTCTTCTCTCACCACTTAAATGTACCACACACGTACATAACATCCCACCCACCAGTATGTTAGTCTAGAAACACCACCACCATTCCTAGTAAAGCCTGTCTTGAAGCTCGTAAAGCGTGGCTTCATGTCTTTCTTGGCCTAGCCTAATTGCTTTATGTAGACATTATACAAACATAGTTGAACACTGGTTTAGAACTTAAGAGCTTTCCTTCTTTGTTGCCATTTAATTTTAAGGGAGCTTTGTAGTATGAGTTCAGAATGGTTTTCCTTTTAGTCAGAATACTGCTTCTTTGTCTCTGCTTGCCATGGGAGCTTTTAATTGACTTGCAGAGAGCTTTAACCTGTTCTGACCTTCTTACTGGTTCTGACCTTTTTGCCTGGCTACTAGACTGACATTCTCTGTTACTTCCTTCTGTATCACATGAACACATATGTATTTCTGCAGTGATACTGAAAGGAGATGTGTAATAAATGTTAGCCTGAGAGACCTGATGGGTTATTTAAACTGGCCAGATAATTTTTAAGTGGAGGGTTATTAATTTCTTAGGAAAATACCAAGCATCTCTGACAAGTGCCAGCCACTCTACACTGTTGTGTTGTTCGAGTACAACTGTTAAAAATTTAAGGTCTATCCTTAAGTACACAGCTTTAGTTTGCTTGGCTCCATAGTCAACAGTCTTGGCACCAGCAGCCAGGAAATTAAAAGGCGCATTGCCATGGGAAAGTCTGCTGTTAGGGACCTCTCCAAAGTGCTGAAGAGCAATGGTGTCTCTTTGGAGACTAAGGTGCGTCTGATACAGGCCATGGTCTTCGCAATCACCTGTTATGCATCAGAGAGTTGGACAATAACCAAGGAGGATAGAAGGAGAATTGATGCCTTTGAGCTGTGGCGCTGGAGAAGAGTATTGAGAATACCATGGACTGCTAGGAAAACAAACAGATTTGTCCTGGAAAAGGTTAAACCGGGTGGCTCCTTGGAGGCAAGGATTCTGAGGCTCCGTCTAACATACTTCGGACATGTTGTGAGGACAGACCGGTCCTTGGAGAGGGACATCATGTTTGGGAGGGTGGAGGGACAGCACAGGAGAGGAAGGCCCTCTATGAGGTGGATTGATTCAGTGATTGGGATAATTGGGATGGGAGTGTCGGAGACAGTGCGATTGGCACAGGACAGAGCGGAGTTTAGGGCTGTTGTACATAGGGTCGCTATGAGTCGCAGGCGACTCGACGGCACATAACAACAACAACAACATCCTTAAGTACAAAAAGTGAGCATAAAAAAATACTATCCATAAACATACAAGGAAGACCTGTTAATACAAATGTTATTCACTTGTTAACACAACTACTATTCAAATATACACACCTAGGAGATTGAGTATTTCTACTAGTTTTTGCAATCTCAAATTTACCAATATGTATTCAAGATGTGTGAGTAGTAATTTGAGACTGGAATACAAAGTTGGAAACAATGAAGATGGAATAGTTGTTAGGTGCAGTTAAATCAAGTATTGCTCATAGCAACCCTATGAACAAAAGATCTGAATTCTGTTCTATCTTACATCATCCTCACACTTTGCTAAAACAAGAACCTGTTGCAGCAGTCATCATGTCACTTCACCTGGTTGAGGGTCTTCCTTCGCCGACACTCCACCCTTCCCACATCATGTCCTCCTCCAAGGATTAGCCCCTCTTAACAACATGCCCAAAGTATGTGAGGCAAAGCCTCATCATTTTTGCCTCCGAAGAACACTCCTGCTGCACTGTCTCCAAGACATGTCTGTTCAATCTCTTGGCCATCCGTAGGATGTTCAGTGTTCTTCTTCAACAACACAGCTCAGAGATGTCAAAATAACGGGACTTGGTGACAGAATTAAGTCTAGAAAAGAAATGATTGAATTTTGCATGTTAAATGATTTATTTAGTGCATCTTTTTGTGTGTGTGGTGGTTTGTTTTTATTTTGAGTGGGTGAATGAGGTGGAGAGAGGTGTGTAAAGGGTCTTTGTTTTTATTTTGTGGTACTTTGCCTTTTTTTTTTTTGAACTAGTATCTCTTTTTAACAAAACACAAGTGGAGAATTGACACATGTACCTCACCTGATGGGATTGTACAGGAATTAGATTGACTACATCTGTGGAAGGAATTGTTGGAGAAGCTTAATATCCGCAGTGAAAACCAGGCCTGACGCTGGCCGTGGAACAAATAGATAAATTAATCGTCTGCAAGATCAAATTGAGGCTTAAGAAAATAAAAAACAAGACCACCACAAGAACCAAAATAGGACCTTGATTATATGCCACCTGTTTAAAGGATTAAACACTGATCATAGAAAAACAGATGAGTTGTACAATGATAATCAAAGATATTGTTCCACAGGATATTGCCATGGAAACTTAATTTATATCCATAAAGAAGAACAAAAAGCCATTTTTTTAAGACAAGGAGATGGAAAAGATAAAAATGGATATCAGAAGAGAGTGAAAATTACACTATAACATTGAGAAGCCAAAACAAAGGGAAGAGGTACAAAGGTGAAAAATGAATATATTTCAAAGGGCAGCTCCGGAAGACAAAGCAAAGCTTTAGCACGGAATTTGTAAAGAGCTGAAGTAAGAATAAAAAGAGAAGATTGTGCTCAGCATTTCTTAAGCTGAAAGAACTGAAAAGCAAATTCAAGCCTTAAGTTCTAATACTGAAGAATTCTATGGATAAAATCTTGAATGATCCAGGATGCTTCAAAAGAAGATGGAGGGAATACATACGGAGTCACTGTACCGAAAAGAATTAGTTGACACTGAAATATTTCAGTAAGTGCCATGTTAACAAGAGCCAATGATAATGAAGAACTTCAAGCTGCATTAAAGGCACTGACAAAAAATAATGCTCCAGGAATCTATAAAATACCAGTTAACACGCTTCTGCTAACAGATACAAACGATGCTTGGTGACAGAAATGACTCTTAAAGAGTCAAGAGTATAGTGTTCGAGTTTGAAATTCCTCATCATTTATGCCTGTCCTGATTCTCCCTTTCCTGGTCATGCTTCACCTGACTTCTTGTCATAAATAGATGGGTATCTGGATCAAATTTGGAGCTATTACCTAGAAATGAGGGAAGTGATACTGGTTAAAACAACAAATTAGGCAAATGAGATGTTTTCTTGTGAGGAAATAAATAGGAAAGGAACGTAGTTTCTCTGTACCTTCAGAGAGAAAAATGTATGAAGGAAACTTGTTTCTGCAGGTAATTGCTCATCTGTGTATAAGATCTAAGGAGAGAGATAGGTACTCTGCTCGTATGAAATTTGTAGCCTCAAAAATAGACGGTCAGCTATGAATAAGTTCTGAGTTCAGTGGTAATGAGTGTGAGTGATTAGAGAGAGGGTAATTTAATAATTGGTTCCTCCAACAACAAAAAGCCCTCATTTGTTGCATTTGCTGATTTTTTTAAAAAAAATGTTTTTATTTGCTGACTTCTAAAGTGTAGTTATCTCACCATGGGTGATTTCAGCTTTAACTAACATTAGTGACTGAACACAGTGAATAGAAGAACACAATAAGCTGATAATAACAGGCTCTAATCTGCTGAATAGATAAATGCACTCCGTGTGCCCAAGACATTGATCCAGGCAGGCGAATAATAAGTTTTATAGAACGAGTAAAATCTACCATGAACAACCATTTTGTGTATGTTTTAGGGAATTTGAAGCTTGGGTAGTTTACTGAGGAAGTTCATAGGTGATATGTGTCATTAACAAGCTTACTGCTACTGAAAAGCTAGGGGCTTAAGTCCATGCCATAAACAACTGAGAAGAAAGGCCTGCTCATCTGCATCCTACAAAACCAGTTGCTGAAAACACAGTGGAGCACAGTGCAGGTTGGGTTACCATGAGTCTACCTGATGTTACCTGCAAGAGGGAAGGAGGGACAAGCCTCACTGAGAGGAATTTTTTCTTTTTAAAAAGACATTTATACTTTAATAACAGTTTCTTGTATCTAATCCTCCTAACATCTCTGGTACTAAATAGACTTGTTATTTTCATAAAGAATTTTTTTAAAGACGTTATTTGGGCCACTTAGTTTCCATAGAGGGTGTTTGTTCATGAAATTAATTGGCTTTTAAATGTTTTCAAATGAAGAGTATTTAACAGGTGGCTTACATAAAAGTTGTTAAGTTACAGTAATTTATAATTAATGAAATTGAATAAGAAGCTATTTTCTAAGCATCTCATGTGAGGCAAATAGTTTTATGTTGCATCAGGAGCTTTAGAGCTCGTGTTTGCTTCTGTGGCATCAGTTGTGAACTGCAGAAGAAGCTGGAATGTGGAGCTTCTGTAACCGAAGTCTTTGTATAAATTGAATTGAAGATAAGGTACTCTCTCAAACTTTGAGAATATGGCATGCTGCCATCTCTTATTGCTGTTAATGATTTAAAAATTTATTCACCAGCTTTCTTTTTTTTTTTTTTTAGAGAGTCTTCTGAGATTTTTATAATTTTA